GGGGGGGGGGGGGGGGGGGGGGGGGGGGGGGGGGGGGGAGGGGGCAGATTTGGAGACGGGGGTGGATCGAAAACTGACGATGGGAACGAGAGAGTTTTTGTGTCGCTGGCCAGTGCGCTCGTTGTGGGGTTGACGTTGTCACTGTCGGTGTTGTCGTGAAATACGACGCGTGATGACCTCGAAGACAGGTCTGGCTGCCCAGCGTTTTGTTTTAGCCTGTTGTTGTTGTTGTTGTTTCTCACATTAGCTCTATCGTCCGCAAAAAATGGGGAGCCCGTGGTCTCAAAACCCGGCACGTACGACGCCGCGGGGAAACAAAACAAAAATATGGTACAAACCACTCGGAAAAAGAAAAGAAATGTACCGCACCGACCGTTCGAGAAAAGAGCCCTCGGAAACCGATGAAAATATACACAAGAATAAAGGAGGACGCTTCCCACACCCGCCTAAAGAAAAATACAAAGGGTAACGTACCAGCACCAGGCGCTTTGCACCAGGGCATGGGAGTAACGGAGCAAACAGGACAAAGAGGCGGCAGATGGGCAGACAGCCAGATGTACAAAAAACAAAGGCAACAGCAAAGCAACATCAAGGTACCCAACACAGCAGAGTGGGCAGGGAAGACACGAAAAAAAAGAAACACAGCACAGAGGCCGAAGGCAATACAAAGGACATACATAAAGGAGTATAGCATACAGCAGGGAGGGAAACAGGGCGCAACAACATGAGCCGGGTACATAGTTCGCCACAAGCGCTGCCTCGGCCGCCCTACTTGCTTCCACAGCAGTGCCCGGTCGCCGTTTCTTCCCCCCCACCGCCGCTTCGCCGGTTCTCTTTCTCTTCGGTCCTGAGATGGCCGTACTCTCTGCTTCTGCTTCCCTCGTGCGCTGGCGCTTCGCGGACGCTTCCGCCTCCTGCGTGTGTCATTTCCTCATGAGCCATGCCGCCCCGTCCTGGACCTTGCTGTACCACACCTCCGGGTCCTTGGCGCTCTCTTTCCATTTCCCCCCTTCCTTTTCGTCTCCCATGTTGAAGGCCACGAGGTCCTCTCCTAGACGAGACACCCAGTCGCTCTCCTGCCCGCCCCGTTGTGTGCTTCGCTGGAGTTGTTGTAAGGACAGACCCGTCGAACCAACTCCGTAGCCGAAGGCGGAGACGCGCCCTTGCCACAAAGGATAACGAGATAGAATCGCTCCTTTTTGTTGGCTAACCTCAAGTCTGCCGTGTGGGGGCAATCAGGCCTGGAGGTAACGGCGTGCGAACTTCGGTACGGGGGGTGGGGGAGGCAGCAGTATACACCTACGCGCCACCAAACTTTTATCCGCGACAACCGAACACATCTTGTCGACACGCACGGTCTTGTGTGTGTGCTCCTGGCTGTGGATGCGCGGACGGTGATGTTGGTGAGTTCGTTGTTGGCGTTGGCCGCTTGTTCCGCAGGCCCAGAGTCTTCTCCCCGGTCCGTGTGGATGACCAAGGCGGATTTCGACGCTTCCATCCGAGAGCTGGTGCCTGCCAAATGGATCCCGGAAGAAGACAAGCAACGCCTTAGCCAGGCAAGGGGGAGAGAGAGAGAGAGCAAGAGGGATACTTTTGGCAAGAGGAGATCCTGCTTTGTAGGCCTGCAGACAGGGCATTTTGTGTTTCCTACGCAAGTGACACTTTGCAAGAGAGAGAGCAAGCGAGCGAGCGAGAGACAGAGACAGAGACTTTCCGCTAGAGTAGAGCCGGATTTGTGGGCGTGTAGACACCGTTGTTGTTTGGTGGTGCAAGAAGCGATCTTGCGCGTCCCCGGCAAGTCCCACCTTGCCGGCTTCGTTGCTTCAGCTCTCTGGGTGGGGCCCTTTGAGTCTATTGTAGTCAACTGTGTCGCCGGAGGGTCCCCGCCAACACGCTCCCGTTTTTCGAAGATCGCGAGAAACCGCCACATACTGCTGCATTTCAAGACCGACCTTCCCCCTTTGTGGTGTCGTTGTCTTGTTGGACATGACCTCCTCCTGCCTTGTGGTCTGCAGGTGCTGTCGGCGGTGTTCTACGCGTTCGAAGAGGCCCCGGGGAAGGGGGTCTGCGTCGCGGAGATCGTGGGCGGCCTCAGCCTGCTTTGCGCGGGCAACAAGAGCTCCAAGCTCGCGGTTAGTAACGACGACACTTTTGGGTGTGGTTGATCGTTTTCTTTGTTTTTTTCAGAGGGCCGGCGCAATAGGGTCGCAGAAGTCGCGGTACGGTTTTACGCCGGGTAACATGTCGCATGTATGCGTGTTGTGTTCGGTGTCGCACCATTGTTGTCACCATTGTTGCGTTTTGTTATTGCTGTTGTGTGTGTTTTGGTCCTGCTCGTGTGAGCGACCGCTCGTAGTTCTGCCTGAACCACTTGAGCCCGTGTTTTGCGCGTCTTTATCACGATGCTTCCGGTGCTCCGTTTGTTACGACTCATGCCGATACTGTTGCTGCTGCGGCTGGCTGCCTGTGTTGACGCTGCGCCTACTCCTGGTGCTGTGACCCAAACTTGGCTGGTCCGTTCAATTCGATGCTGCGATAGTTCGCCTTTCACCTTTTCGCGGTCCACACGGACGAGGGTGGCTGCCTCACGCCGAAGCTTCTGGGAAACTTCCTCGGGTCCTTCGCGACGGTACTGTGCGCGTGCACGGAGGAAGGGATGGAGATGGCGCCGGAGATGCTCCGCAGCGTCATCTCGACAGCCTCGGAGACGGCTGTGACAAGCTTACTGGGTGAGCTACACAGCAACTGAGTGTTTCGAGTTCATGCTAAGGGCGATGCTTGGATAGGTTTTTTGTTTGTTGGGATGCGAAAGGGATTGTCCTCTCAAAGCAACATCCTTACAGAAGAGGATGCACACATGACGCACGCGATGGGGAAGGAGGGTTCTGTTCGAGAAATACATTTTTCTAATGCGAGTCGTGTTCTCCTGTTGTCGTTTTTTTCTGTCGGGCTCCCCTCGTTCATGCCCTCCCCTGGCCGACCCCCTCTAATTCGAATAACCCACGACGCGACAAGCAGACACCCTCGATGCCGCAACGGAGGCGGAGATATCGTTCGAGGACGTGGGGAACTGGTATAACACGGGCGGTTTCGAAGTGATTCCGTGGCTGGAGCTGTTGGATCTGCGAAAGTGGTGCGTACGAGGGAGAGGGTGGGAGTGGCATCACTGTTCGTTACGTCTCCGGCAACGTTTCACTATCGAGCGCCGAGGCGGTGTTGACAGCAGTGCTGCCCCTTGTGTATTTGACTTTTGTCGCCGGAACGGAAGAACTTGATAGTTACCCGGGGTGGGGTGGCGGTGAACGTCTTATCGTTGGCCGAAGGAAGCCCCCCTGACCCTGCTGCTAGTACTTGCTGTTGCCGTCTACGCACGCGCCTAGGCACCTCAGATTCCTTTCAAGTATGTTTTGGTGCTCATCCTTGTGTCGTTTTTTCTTGGTTCTGGTTGTGGCCAATTTCGTACTAGGTGACAAGAGCTTGTCTTGCTACTTTACTTGTCTTGATAATAGAGGCACAGATGTGAACAGTGTGTGCATAGGGACTGTCGCATGCCACACATGTGCGCGACAGGGGCCATCTGAACTCGCGCAGTGCACGAGTGCGCTGGCCAGCTCAACGATGGTATTGGTTGCAAGATGAGAAAACGACCCTTCTCCCTCCGCAGTTGAGATGTACCGACGTGTTCTGTTTTGTTTTTGTTGTCAGGGCGGCCACGACCGGCTTGGAAGGACCCTCGGCCCCAGCGTTGGACAAGAGCGGCGACGATGAGACGCAGGCTGCAGCTGCGGTAAGGGTTGTCATGTCGCCGTCCTTTATTGTTGTGGGCGGTATGCTGGAGTTGGCGAAGCGGGGTAAGTTGATGGTGTGTTGCTGGTGTTGTTTGTCTTGCCGCGGCTGCTGTTGCAACTGTTGGTATGGGTGCGATTCTCTCATCCTGTGCGGCAGGGATGCAAACCATAACAATGTGCCATCTTGTTTGCAGTATCTACAGTACAAGTAGTGCCACCGACTTGGTCGAATGGTTGGTCTTTTTGTCGGAATACCATTTATCGGAACATTCCTTGGGTAGGTGCAGCTCATGCACGGCAACCTGCCTTTTCGCCTTGCAGCAACCTAGCGCCGCGGCTTGCCGCGGCTTACCGCTGCTTAGGCTTACTTTACAATGGCAGAGGCTCGGGTCGGGTCGGTTGGGTTGGGGTTAGGGATAGGGCTGTATCCTAGGTTTGGAGCGGTGGAACAAAGTTGTACAGCAGTTGGCACCAGTAGTTTCGAAGGGAGGCATTCCATCCATTGGGTTATTTCTCTCCTCCTCTATCCCCATCCGCCCATGGCGATTCCTTGGGCTATATACTGCAACTGCTGTGGAGGATTTTATCCAGGAAGTTCCCCAGGAAAATTCTCGTCAACCATTGCGTTCGACCACGTCGTTTGCACCCCTCCCTATTTGTGCGACTGCTTTCTCCTCCATGCCCTTCGACTTGTTGGAACACTTTGTTGTCTCTTCCACAACCTAACCTTTTCTCTCTGTAAGGTTCCGCGGCCTCGCACTCTGTCGTGTCCTCTGGTCGTCTCTCGTCTGCGTCCGTTGTGTGATCGCGAAAAATCCCTCCAACGTTGCCTCGACCCCCATCACATCTTCATCACACACGTCCACGCTCGTCGATCGATGGCTCACACGCGCAAGGGCGGGGAGGGAGGGGAGGCAGAGGGGTGGGGGGGGGCGATGGAAGACAACGTGGCGTTCCAGTTTAGCTTGGGGCCTGCCAAGACCGCGGTAGTGCTGACCATCACAGAAGAGGTGAACGCACGTGTGCAGCGGTTGCGGTGGGATCGTAGGCGTGATGGTGGTGTCAACAATGGGGCGGGCACCCATGAGCGGAGAAACAAACGTCTTGGAAGTAGTGAGACAGCGTGGTCACGCCGGGTGATCTCGATGCGTGTTTGGAGTATGGCACGCTGGTAATTCTATTCTAGTGGACGGAGAAAAGAGAAACACCAAAACGTTAGTTGTGGTGGCGCTGGTGGCGCTGGTGGCGCTGGTGGCGCTGGTGGCGATAGACCTTGTTCCAACATTTAACGCGACCTTCACGTCACGGGTTCTTTCTTAAACCATCGCTGGTCCACAACCCTTCCAGGGCAAGGCACCCAGCGGACTATACCGCCATAGCCGTAGCAGGACGCCGCGAGCAACGGGGAGAGCCGCATCACCCACATACAGTAGTAACCTGCGCGTAGTCTTCTTCTCCAAGCTCCACAGCATCTGTAGGTGGTGGGTGTCGCTGACTGTGGATGGGCCGTTGTTTTCTCCGTCGAGGTGTCGGTCTATCTGTTGGCCTACATGTGGCACCCAAAACCCCAACCCCTGTCTGTTGCTGCTTTCAATAGTGTAGCGCTCCGGAGGTGCTGAGCGGACGACTTGGATATCACCCCGTGCCAAAGGGTCCCCGTGGATGCACCACACCAAACACCGTAGCGACGCTCGACCTCTTAAAAAATGTCCTGCCGTCATCGCCAAAGTGCACACATGCCCATTGTGTTGCACGGCACGAACAGCCAGTCCTCTAATAGTGGCGTCAGACGACACGTCCCGCACAACATAAAAGGGCCGGCCGCACAGGAGACAACATTTTCGGAACAAAGTAGGGGTGACCGCCGAAAGCACCGGGGTGCACACCGGCCGAGAACACCCGACGACACCCCCGCCCAAGCACATGAGCACCACCACAGCAGAATTGCCGTCGTGTCAATTTGTTCCAAGCTTTTTGGATGTTGCGGCATACTGGTTTGTCACGAACGAATCCCACCTTAAATTTTGTGTCGTGCTCTTTTCGAGTAAGCTCTCACCGGCACCGCATGAACAACGAACGCAAGCACGCTCTCTCGCCAAATGTGAACGAGACGTGTCCATAACGACGAAATATAACAGGATGTATCGAACGTGCTGGAGCTGGCGCAGGGGACCGGTCTCGCCAACAAGGACCCCGCAGACGTTGCCGCCGCTCTCCTGGCCACCTCCGAGAGCACCAAGGCCAAGAAGGTCAACAAGGCGGCCGGCGGAGGAGGCGTGGCGCGGCGGGGGATGCTGTCGAAGAACGCGTTCGACCACTGCATCCGAGGCCTCGTGCCGGGGAGGCGGCTTAGCCAGGGGCAGAAGCAGAGGTTCTCGGGACTGCTGTCGGCGGCCTTCTACGCCTTCGACTTTGACGGAAGGTCGGCGGGGGCCCGGGCTCTGACGATGGTTTGGTTTGTTCGGTGGGGTTGTTGTTTTTGAGAGGGTCGATCGACGGATTGGCTGATACGGGTCCCCAACGATGCTGATACCAACACCATTAAGAAGGAATAAGAAATAGTGGCGTTTCACACCCATCCTGGAATGACGGGGGGCTTGGGGAGGGGGGAGGGATCGCAGGATGTATTGCATAGCGGTGCCGATAGTTGGAGGGGTTATTTCCTTCGCGATGTCCTTGCGGCCCGTGTCTTTGTGCGTTTTTCTCTCTGACGGGGGGGGTTGGGGGTTGTGTAAAAGTACTCCAGGCAAGCAATGGATCGAAGGTAAAGGTGAAAGTGTTGCGGGATGGTTCGTGCATCGTGATTCGTATATCACGGGGCGTCTGAGTTCGAGACGATGCAGTCAGGTCACGCGATGGCAGTGACATCTGCAATGTTCCCCATTGCAGTTCCCAGCGGGGTACCGTCCCACTAGCATTCCCGTGACAAGAGGATACTGTATAAGGTGTCTACCAGGTGGATCACATACCCGCCCAGTCAAGTGCTGTACAGCCTGCTGGTGGTTGCGAGTAGGACCGTTTCAAACTCCCAGCTCTCCCTCTTGTCTCTCTTAACCACCCTTAATGTGCAAAGCAGCGCGTCGGCGGATGCGAGAGACCTGGCGAGCGGTTTCTTCCTGCTGTGCTCGGGCAACAAGAGCGTCAAGCTAGCGAGCGCGTTTCGGCTGCTGGACGAGGATGGCGACGACCAGCTATCCAGGGAGGGAGTCTGGCGGTTTTTGAGGTGGGGGGGGGGGACTAGGCAGCTGAGGTAGCGGGGAGGCTAAGGCAGCATCAAGGAATGGCAGTGTGGGGAACAGCACGGTCTGCAGATAGATGATGGTGGATAGATTATGTGTTCATTTTTTTCATGCCGATGGAGTTTGACGCTGTTTCGAGGGGCCCGGCGGAGGTGGCATTGGGGGAGGGGTTGCGAGGACGGGTGCAAGTTACAAGTCGGGCAACGTGTGCGCCATGTGATTTCGATACGTTACGCGTCCTCTGTGTTTAAATAAGCGTTGTTGCTGTGGTCCCGCAGATCACTCCTATCGATCCTGATGGGGTTCAGCGGCGCGTGCCAGGCGAAGTCTCAGGCGAAGGTCGTGGAGGATGTCGACTCCATCGCCGCGTGGACGAGCAACCTCATATTTCAGGTTAGTTTCGCCCCTCGCGGACTGAATGTGCTATTAGTCATGGTTGCACTGCTGCTGTCTAGTTTTGCGGCCGACCGCCAGTAGAGAATGTCAGCTCCAGTCGGAATATGTCGCGGTCGCGGCCGACTACAAGGAGATGCAGTGGCAGAAATTCTAGTAGAGTTTGCGGTACAAAGCGGTTCGCACGTCGGAAATAAGGAACGCAACAGCGTGTGTAGCTACAGTAGATAGTCAGCGCCTCCCGCTGGAGAGTGTGTTGTGTCGTTCAATGCACAGCGAACACGACGGTGGTTGCGGTGTGAACATTGCTGTAATACTGCTGTGCATGAGATCCATGATTTGTGGCGTTGTCCTCTTGTCCTCTTAAGCTTGACTACCCCTAGACTCTTTTGCCTTTTTTCTCTCTAATCGCTACAACAATCCACACGCCCTGACCCTTGCCTGTACTTACCCCCCTCTACTCGTCTGCCGTGTTCTGCCGCACACACGGTGATGGGCAACACCCGCGGGCGCATGACGCACGCAGAGCCCTAAGCTGGTGATGCGGGCCTCTCTCTCGTTCGACGAACTCGCGGCGTGGTATACCCACGAGGGGTACAAGGTGGCCCCGTGGTTGGAGCTGCTGGATCTCAACAAGTGGGCTGTCGGTGCAATGGGGAACGCCCCAGGTAACCACGAAAGGGAGGGGGTGAGAGATGGTGCATGAAAGGAGAGATTGTGAGGATGATTGACGCGTGAAGCTGAACCTAGCTCCTCTGTGACCTCCTTTTTCTTTGTTTTCAAGCCTGCTGTTTCTGTGTTAGGGTCTGTTCATGTATTGTTTGTTTATATCGACGGGAGACAGTGAACACTAGCTGGTTGGTCGCGGAGGCTTGTCTGATTGAGGATGCTTAATTCCTTGGTGTAGATGCATACTGTAGATTGAGAGGCTCCTCCATGGAATGGTGGGGGGCTATGGCTCATCTCGATCGTGTCGAACAAAGACGATTTTGCGGGGGAGCCGTTTCGTGTTTTTTGGTCAGCGAGAGATGTGAACATGCTGCTGCGTGTCTTGTCACACAAAGAGAGATTTTCGGCTGAAGGTACCAGACGCCTTCGTTTTGTTTTGGGTGCCGGATGCTGACAGAGAATCCATCAAGCTACCACACACACGTTTGCCTAGCCCATATGGATCCCCGAATCAAAGGCCTGGTCACGTTCATGACCACGACCCGTCCCGTCAAACCTCGCCCTGACACCGTCACCAACCCGGTGAACTATAATAACCACCAAACTCTCCCCGGTCGACGCAGGGGGCGGGCGAGGCGGTGGCAACGGCCCCCAGATGCGGCAGCACGTGCAGCCGAAGACCATGGTGCCCCCGGGGAAGCCTCTCATTGCGGAGCCGAAGCCCCCGACCCCGGCGGCGGCGGCGGCGGCGGTGGCGGCGGAGCGGGGAGACAACAACGGCAGCGGACGGGTGGGGGCGGGAGGCGGCGGCGGGGCCCCCGCGGCGGTGAACTCCTCCTCTGCGGCGGGGCGGAACGTCGGGAGCGCGGGCGCGGCGGCGGCGGCGCAGGCGGCCGGAGGCGGCGGCGGCGAGGCGGCAACCGGGCAGTCGGCCCTTACCGCCTACGGGGAGGCAGCGGGCACCAAAGGAGCGGCGGGGGCGGCGGCGGCGGCGGCAGCGGCGGCAGCGGCGGCAGCGGCGGCGGCGTGCATGAAGGAGAGCAACGGCTTGAACGAGCGGCCCGCGGGGGGGGAGAGCGCGGGGGATTTCGACGGGGGTTCTAACCCCACGAGCCAGGTGCTGTTCACGTTCCCGCTCGTGCCGGACGTGGAGCTGCTTGTGATGCAGGAGGACGTGGACTTCGTCCAGAGGATTGTCGTGGTGAGGGGACGAGATACGTAGGGTAGGGTAGGGTAGGGTAGGGTAGGGTAGGGTAGGGTAGGGTAAGGGTGGCCGAGCGTGGTGTTGTGAGTTGCCTGGTACTCGACGCTTTCGCGATGATCTGAGTGTGGGATCTAAGCGTGATGGTGAGTGCTGTTCTTCTTTGCTTGGGTTTGGTTTATCCTGCGTGTGCTCGTGGTCGTGCGCGTCGCCTGCCTGGCTACGCTGATGACTTCAAGCTCAGTCGAGAGCCTAGAGTAATAAAGCAAGAGGCGATTTGATTCATCTCCTTCTGATACGGTACCATCACACGAAAATCACACCTCGATTTCGATGTGTTTTTTTTTCTCGTCCCCTGTACGTTTGTCCGGCACGCCTTTGTGCAGTGCTCTTTTGTTCCTCTCCCTTTTGTGTTGAAGTTCTTACAGAGTATGTTGTTTTCCTATTTGCGCTCGCTGCTGTTTTAGGGAACGCGGCTGGCGGCGCTGCTGCCGCAGGACATCCTGGAGACGTTTCGAGATAAGGCCACGTCCGGACCGAGGGGGAAGGAAGTGACGAAGGAAGCATTCGACACGGGGATGCAGGTACGCAAGCAAGTGGATGCGATTTGATGCTCGTGATGGTGGTGGTGGTAGGGCTTTGGTTTGCTGATCCGACGAGGTCATACGACAGAAAGGAACGCGCCCGTTTTTGGCACGTGGTAGATGTGTATGGCTCATGAGCTCTCACCGTTTCCGCCGCGCGTGCGCAACGCGACCTCACCGCAATTTTGGCTTCACGCCGTTTGTCGTCGTGTGCTGTGTGATTGCCGTTGGTGCCGTTGGTGCCGTTGGGTTGTCGGCATCGACCACGTCGGGGGGCTGGCTGTTCGTCGTTCGTTCGTCTCGCTCGTGTACTTGCGTGTGGATGTGTTTTTACTGTTGCGTGCATCGACCGCCCTAACCATCGACTATCTGCGGGTGTGTGATACACGTGCGTGTGTTGTTGTTGTTGTTGTTGTTGTTGTTTCTCACATTAGCTCTATAGTCCACAAAAAATGGAGAGCCCGTGGTCTCAAAACCCGGCACATACGATGCCGCGGGGAAACGAAACAAAAATAGGGTACAAACCACTCGGAAAAACAAAACAAAATGATAGAAAGAAAAGAACAGGTATCGCACCGACCTTTCGAGAAAAGAGCCCTCGGAAACCGATCAAAATAAATTAAAAACAAAAACAAAGGAGGACGCTTCCCACACCCGCCTAAAGAAAGAATCAAAGGGTAACGTACCAGCACCAGGCACTACGCACCAGGGCATAGGAGTAACGGGGCAAACAGGACAAAGAGGCGGCAGATGGGCGGACAGCCAGACGTACAAAAACAAAGGCAACAGCAAAGCGAGATCAAGGTACCCAACACAGCAGAGTAGGCAGGGAGGACATGAAAAAAAGAAACAGCACAGAGGCCGAAGGCAACACAAAGGACATCAATAAAGGAGTATAGCATACAGCAGGGAGGGAAACAGGGCGCAACAACATCATCAGCCGGGTACATAGTTCGCCACAAGTGCTGCCTCGGCCGCCCTACTTGCTTCTACAGCAGTGTGTGTGTGTGTGTGTGTGTGTGTGTATCTTTGTTCGGCCAGGAACTGGTCCGGCTGCAGAGCATGCTCGAGGACGAGCGTGACCTGCTGTCGTTTGCGCTGGCGAATATCTTCTTCGCCTACGATCGGATGCAAGAGGGCAGGGTGTTACTCAGGTGAGTTAGCAACCAACGCCTTGTAGTTTACGTGCAAGGGGGAAGGGAGACGGAGGGAACCACTGGTAAACGTGGGGCATTCCGGGCTATTTGTTGTGCCAGGTGCCCTCTTGGTTCGCTCCAGTGTTTTGGTGGTGCTCTTGGAGGTTTGGGGCAAATCGGTAGGCTATTTGGTGTACCGTGTGTTGACGTCTCATGCGCAAGAATCACCCCACACGCACACTCCCCCACGCGCCAGAGGATTTTTTAGTTTTTCACCCTGTCGATCAAAGCAGGAGGAGGCTTGAATCGAACGACAGATTTTGCTCTGACAAAAGAAAGTTCCACCGCTAGCGATGGCAACTTTGATGGTGCATTAGATGACGATGTCGTCCTCGTTCTGCAATACGGCCTACTCAGCGTGTCGAGGGCCGGTGACTGTGTTGTGTGTGGTATATGGTAACGCCGACGGCAGCTGCTCAACTACCTGCCGCTGTGTGTGGTGCGTACTTTTGCTCGGTAGTGCTGTTTCTGATTGGCTCAACCCGCAGCCTGTGTTTGATCTTGCGAAGACGAGCTTCCCGAAAGAATCTACCCCCCGTTTTGATTGACGCGTGTCACAAGCAACCTCACGACAACACCACCGGTCCGCAACTAACGACAACAAACCGACGAATCACTACAGGGACCTGGCGTGCGGCTTGTCCTTCCTGTGCTGCGGATCAAAGTCGTCGAAGCTGGCGTTTGCCTATTCGCTCTTCGGGGGTGGCGGTCGATCACCACAGGTATCTGGAGCGAGGAGTGTTTTCATCCGTCATGCCCTTGTGCGGAGTGTTGGTGTTGTTTTTCGTTCTGAAGCCCAACCGGCAGAGAGCTAGCGAGCAAGTCTCGAACGTCTTGTTCCACCCGTCTGGTGCTGAGGTGTGCATCAGCCTTGCGTTCTCACCATCCTACCCTACCACCAGCCTCCGCGTCCGTCGTGATGATCGCCAATGACACGATGGCCGCCTTGCGTGTCCCGTACCACCACACAGCAGCGTCCTCCCTTTTTTCCCGTATTGCCGTGAAGTCGTTCCCGTACTTTTCATGGTTTTCTTGCCGTTCGTCAGTCGAGCCTGGTCCCCTTCGTTCCTCCCCGCTAGAACCAATCTTGTGACCCCTATTTAGCCTCCTCCACTTTCACTCCAGCACACCGACCCTGTTGTGTTTTGCCTTCTTTCTTGCGCTTGCCTTTGACTGCTCTTCCACTTTCACGACCGCTCCAACCCCGCTGTGCTCTTAAACCCTCGACTTTCGCTGCTGTTGCGCGTACTGCTGCAGGAGGGAGGAGCAGAAGGGAGACAGGAGCGCGCCACCATTATAGCCGGGACTGGGCCATCGGCGGACTGGGGGGGAGGGGCCGGGTGGGGTGAGGGCGAACTTGACGCGGAGGGAGTTGTTTCTAGAGAGGCCATTGGAGCGTTCGTTTCGGGTCTGTTGACCGTGCTGTGCTCTTGCGTGGGCCAGATGTTGGAGCTAACCAACAGAGAGGTGAGTGCGGTAAGGAGTAGCGGCGGGGGGGGGGGGGGT